GCGTTAAACAACGGAATCTTAGGTGAACCGGGATCATAAACGACGGGATCTCAAGTGGAGACTACAATGATCGATTAAACCGGGTACGTACAGAGCTATTAGAGGAGACTCAAACTCTTTCCACCCACCCCCCCTCCCTTCATCTTACTTTAATTAATTAGACAGACAAATTATTCACCGTTGCTTTTCGGGTACTGGATTTATTTTTGATTTGGCGCCGCTAGGACATCTAGCTCTAGCCTATATTTTGACATCAGTAACAGTAATGAGATAAATGGGTTTTAAAACATGAAATAAGTCTACTGATTTTCCTTATCTCCAGGACCTCAGAATAAACCATCTTTCCTCTAATCTAGATTTCAGTGCGAGAGTCAGAGGTCGACCATGGTTCCGCTGCGAGAGAGGCTTTTATCAGGCGTGTGCGTTGCCGCCCACAGAGCAGCCTCCATTAGCCTACCGTACAACCTCCCTCCTTGACTTGTGCTCATATGTCTAACAACATAGCAAAAAGCACGCGCGCGCGCGCATGTGGTTGTGAGTAAAAAAAAGTGCAAAATCAATTCCGCAGCACCTTTCTTTGGTGGTTTTTACAACTTGTTGATTCTGCAACTTTTCTCAAATAGCCTAGGCTGTGTTTCCTCCACACAGGATGTTACTGAGCTGGTTTTGATCTGTTCTTTCTCGAGAGAAATGTGGATACTTTCATTTGATACCGTTAATCGGACCTTTTATTGATTTGTCGACAAAATTGACAGAAAACAGTAAACAGCCTGCAAGCCCCCGCAGCAGAAGACGAAAAAAGAAAATTTGCCACCTGGCAAAATAAACACGAAAAAAAAAAAAAAGTTGCTGATGAATTGATGCTAGGTATTTGCTAGGAGTAGAGTCAACATTGCGAGGCCGACTGAGATTTTAGTCCAGGTCCAAGAAATCACTATTCTGTCCTTACCATCGACTAGACCGGTACATTTGCATGTGGTTTTTATCACTAAATATGTTTTTTTATTGTGACATAACCAAATAATCAACATGTGCCGCTGTTAGTTCTGTCACCTTGTCTGATTGACTAAATTATTATTACGATTAGGATTAGTAGGCTAAGCTTCCGATGATAACAATTCCATCCATCATGTTATATATATACTACTTTAGTTTTGCTCCAGTAGGGCCTACCCTCTCCTGCTCAATTCCGTGGCCCAGAATAATACTGGCGTGACTGATTAAGTTAACATTTTGCCTGCATGTTAAGGCTTGGTAGCCAGTACTAGATCTAGATTTAGATCTACTGCTAGAGCTCTATTGACAATTGACTATTGTTGTGCAGAAGTCTCACCAGGCCAAATGTTGAAGCGAGTCTGGATCTTGTTTAGGTTAAGGGTGTAGAATAAAACATAATTAGACTTATATCTAGATCTAGTTGCCAAGGCCTCACATGCATGCATGACAGTCTCTGTACTTGGCCTAAGAGCACTGAAGTACATGTGGATTGTAATTTTGGCCTATTTGTTAGGGATTTATATTTATAAAGTAAAGGTAGAGGCAGGGTTAGGTTAGGATGGTAGATCTAGATCTAGATCTAGATCTATCTAGATCTAGATCTAGTCTAGATTCTAGATCCTGCTAGATTTTTACTTTTATTTAAGATCACCAAACCAGATCTCAGGGCCTGGCTATATTTGACCTATAAAATGTACTGTGATGGTTGTAGTGATGGCTTCCACTGTACATTATATTGTTTACATTTATCGGTGATCTTGTAGTTCCGTTCGTTTAAGTCCACGATCCATTTGTTTACATCCAGAGAAGAAATCCAGAAGTCTTGAAGACCAAATACTATTTGAATTATGCTACACAAAGAGCAGGGATGCAACCTAACTGTAAAACATCAAATTAGGATAAAATTCCCCCCCACTTCCATATTTTTTATTAGGTCAGGGGGGGGGGGGCAAGCCCCCAAGTCCCTCCCTGAAACCCCCCCTACTCTTGACTTTAACGAATGAAACTACAAAATCGCCCATTTCTCTACATTCAAAAGTCCTGATTATCAGCTAACCAGATCCAAAAATAATATATCTACACGACCTCTGATTGGCCTTGGGCCTTTGTATCTTTACAGGTATAGCCTGTAATTTTACTCTTGCAAAAGAGATGTGGGGTTGGATAGGTGTGAAAAAGGATGAGACAGATAGTTTCACGGTAGAACTTCCTTTAACGCTTTGAACCCCATCGGACGCTGGGAATGTCTGACAGAATAACACTGTTCCCCATCGGACGCTGGGAGCGTCTGGTACTAGTGACAACTGCTTTGTTTCATTTATTGCTAGTTTTTCTTAGTTTTTCGGAACTATTATTACCGTACCAAGTTTTTTAGTTAATTATGACTCCTTTGTTTCCGCCATTTAGAAGTTGGAGGCAAGATTTTGGGGTTATAATAAGACATAGTGCACTTGGTTTAGTTCACTGTAGAAAAAACTCCAGGAAACGGTGAAAAAAGCTCAGGGCTTAAAGAGTTAAGTGGCAGTATAATTTGCCTTTTATTTGTAGAAAAGTAATGTTTCTAAAAAATTATATGAAAAAGAAGAAATTTTGTTAAGTAAATATATTACATTATACACACACCAGAATGCTCATAAAAGTGAATGTCTCTGTCCTGTAACGGGATTGTCGTTAGGCCCCTATTATCTTTTGAGTACATTACATTTCATTGACAAAATGGTTTTTATTTGTAACGGATTGTTTTTGAGTAAGGTGCAGTCATGATTACGTTATGTTGACAAAAATGAACAACTCACCTGATTTGAGTTCTTGGTTTATTCAAACATGAATTTGGAAAGGCCACCTCTATTCTCACCCTGGGTGAGAAAAGCGCAGGCTGGCCTTTTGGCTATTCTCACCCGGTGTGCCTTCACCGTGACAGGCCAACCAGTGTAGCGTTCACCGTGAACAAATGTTCCAGTGCTCTTGTGTTGAAAGTGTGCCATTTTGTCTTTGAGCAGTGAGAAAGAGAGGGTGGGGGGAGAAGAGAGGGGGGGGGGAGAAGAGAGAGAGGGGGGGGGGAGAGAGAGGAGTAGGCTAGCGCGAGAACTTCCAGGGAAAACAAAATGGTGACCCGCATGCGGCATATGATAGTTCGGCTTGATTCCAAAAGTGAAATAGCCATAGCATCTTTGAAGACAACCAAATTAGCTAATTAGCTTACTTTTGTACTGTAACGTAATTTTTTTCTTTGTTTTTGTCTATCTGATCATCCACACCGATAGACAGTATATATTCCGAAATTAGGAAAAACAGGTCTTGTTTCGCACCGGGTGAGAATAGCCACTTTCATTTGGAAAAGGAAAGTGGAGCTATCAAGGAATAAAACTCATTGTGTCATTCTCTCACCTATCTGTGTTTGTTGTAGCTCAAAGTTTTAAAGACTACCAGCTACCGGTATGTTAGGTGTGAGCATGGCATATAAATATGTCGTGTTTGCTACTCTGGGACCTGCTAGGTTGGCACAGTGCCTGTTTTACCATCCCAAGAATTTCGGGTTTTATCTATGGATATTTATAAATGTTATGGAGCTCAATTTTCTGTTGCAACTACTTAAGTAATAATAAAATAATAATAATAGATAGCATTTGTATAGCGCATATCCCCGCTTAACAGCAGGCTCTATGCGCTTTACACTATATTATTACCCCAGCAGACCATAGAACACTCTGAAACATTCTCAGCTTCCCGGGAAGTACTACAATATTATTATATAGTTACTGGCACTTGCTGTGGTGACCATGGAGGTGTCATCAGGTTGTTACCTCAGAATATAAAATTCTATCTGCACAGTACCAAGTATTGAGAAATTTGACGTCAAAGGTTTTGAGTTTCATTTCATGCCAAGCTTTTTCAAATGCAATTCTTTTTGAATAAGAATATCTAGATATGAATAATCTTGCAATTTTGACAGAGCAAAGAGAACATTTGGTTTTTGAGTTCGTGGTCTTAGTAACTCAAACCGGCCAAAAATATCAGATAGAACTTCTTTTTTTTTTGGTAAGTGTTTTACGGCGCTCGCAACTGCGTAAGGTCATATGAATGCGCGGGACACACTTAACTTTTTCAGTTGGTAGGAAATTTTGAATTTTGCTCGGGTGATGGTCGGAACCTACTCTGATCGATTTTAGACCACCAAGGGATCTTATACGTGCGCAACTTGCACACAGGCCCTCTGAGATCTTCGCCCTTGTCCGAGAAGGCTAGGTGTAGATTTTTCCTACCAGAAGATTAGGGGTGTGGCTGAGAGACAGCAGTAAGAAGGAGCCAAGAAGTAGCAAGAGAAAGGCTGTACAGAAAGAGTCGGGAGCCCAGAGGAGGGGGCAAAAGAGGTGAGGGGGTGGGGGAAGAAAGAGGAGACGAATGCAGACGACAGAACATTGCTAGAGAGCAGGAAAGGAGGTGAAAGGAGACAATTTTGGAGAAGAAAATTTTTCAATCGCTACCCGAATTCGAACCCTCGACAATTCAATGAGAGGCCAACACCTTAACCTCTAGGCCACAAGAGCCCCCTTTACAGTGTTTCAGTTGACACTATGCTCACTGAATTTTGCTGTGAGAATCATGTAGCAATTGAACATAGTCCTACCTTACAATGAATGAAAATATGGGTATATTTTAAACCTGTTTAAAGATAAAGCTTATATGAATTGCTGTTTATTTGTGTTGGGGGGGGGGGGAGAGGAGCGTTGATGACTGTTGATGACTGTTGTGTCCTATGGTGTAAGAACTATCATCCTGATTGTAGATTTTATATATGATCTATGAAAAGTGTGGATTATATACTCATCAATTATAGATTATGTCAGGTGCTTTTTAGAAAATTTTGTCTGTGTCACTGTAACAAATTTAATAAATTTTTGTTAATTTCACTTTGTTGTTTCGTGCTTAAGTCTTTCACTACTGCAATTCGTGTTTCACGGCTCTGCTACCCCCAAGCCGCGAGCTGTGTTTCACGGTTCACCACTTCCTGCTTCAAAACCACACCTACTTTTGTAATAATGTTGAGATAGGTCATTATTTCCCCTTTGTTTTCGTTATAATACATCTGGCTAACATTGAAAATTCTACTCAACATCTTTAATTTGTTCGACATAAGACACAATCAGAAAGTAGGTCACAGATAGGGTCCGGTTCAGGTGAGGAAAGCCCCCCCGTTGTGAAAGAGTTAATGCTCTTTGAAGTAGTAATTGTGGACCATAACGCATGCACGGTTACAGTGGGTGGTTGGCGGGTGCTCTGGTGTTGTTTGCTTCTTCTTTCCTGTCAAACATCTATCGTCCTTATATCTCCCCTTCTTCTTTTTTATGTTTGTTACTCTCTTGTAGCACCTCTTATCCTCTGGCGCTCATATGACCTTATGTAGTTGCGAGTGCCATAAAACCTCTACTAAAACTAAAAAGCGCGGTTACATGAGAGAGTTTCTTCTGCTTTTCATTTTGTCTTTCCATTAGTCCTGAGGCGTGCTGGAATTACATTTGAAAAATCATAACATTCATTGTGATTTGAACAAAATACCCAACACTCTCTCTGCTTTCAGAAACTGTAAAGGTGTGTGGTGCCTGGACCAAAATGCCAACAGGAGTGTCCAAGGAGGAACTTGGTTAAGTTGACTTGTCTGGTGATCTCGTACCGAGCTATGACTTGCTTGCAGACTGATGGATGTTAGTTCCACAACAATGGCTGTCTGATTGGTCAGTACACTGAGCTTCAACAACCATGGAGGAAGGGCAGAAAGTGGCTGGTATGTTCAGTTGTCTAAAGTGTAGTCTGAAGAAAACTCTCTGTGTGTGGTCTGATGTGGTTTGCTCCTTCTTCCTGTCTAATATCTACCATCCTTGTCTCTCCTCCTTTTCTTTGTTATGTTTTTATGCCGGACATGTACAGAGATAAAAAATGATTTTCAGTAATTACATTTTTTAAAATGGTATTCATTTTTGTAACAGTTTGACAAGATTAATTAAGGTAAAGAATTTTGGTAAAGCTAGTCTTTAAGAAGATGTTTCTGTATCCCTGTGACTGACAAAATCAATGAAAAGTATTGGTGTACTTTACTACAGCTCCCTTGAATTTCAAGTTAATTCTGTTTGGTTTTAATTAATGCCTGTGGTGAAGAACTTTCATCTTTTCAAGTGAAAACAGAATACTGTATACACTGGTAGGTCGAACACATAAGACTTGAAATCACACATTCGTTGAACTGTACCTGCGGTCCCGGTTTTTTTTTCTTCTTTATCTTTGTAAAAGTAATACCGAGTCCGGTTCCGACGAATTCGAGCTATCCATGTTTTACTGTAATTTGTTGTTCCTCTCTTTGCGTCACTGGGAAAACTTCAGAGCCGTGCACTTTCAAGCAAAAACTATCAAAGCCGCGCACTATCAGAGCCACGCACTTTTTTACGATATCGATACAATTAGATTGCCCTTTACCAAGACAGTACCATCCAAAAATTTAAGTACACTCAGCGTTTTACTGGGCTTAGGAACAGATATCAGTTAAATTTTGTATTGAATGAATAGGCTTTTCAGGTATAAAAACATTTCTACAGGACAGGGATGATCTTTAAAGTGTTGGGGCAGCATGTTCTTGCTTATTCGGGATAAAAATTGAAGCTGTGAGACTTGTCCATCTGCGTACATTTGCTTGTTACACATTCTCCATTCTTTCTAGGTAGTGCCTTTCTGTTTAGTTTGTGTTTTTAGTTTCAGCTTAGAAATGGCCTGGAAGTCTGCAGAAAGACAAATATATTTGGATTGGGGCTGTACAGAGTAATTTTGTCTAGGGGACTATAACCATTGGATGGAATCGGCAATCTATTTGTATCGATATCGTCAAAAAGTGCATGGCTGTGATAGTCTTTTCTCGAAAGTGCTCAGCTCTGATAGTTTCCCGCGTCACTGCATAAAGAAATTGAGGAAAAAAAAAATTTCATACATGGTAGACTTGACTAATTTTTTTTTCTAGATCTTATAAATTTTTCTTTCTAAATTGTTCCTCTACAAATACTTCTTGTAGAATGCTTGAAGTGTTTTTTGTCTTGTTTGTGCCTGTTATCATGGTGCCTCCAGGGGTGGACATTTTCTTAATAAATGTTGATTTCATTTTACTTCTCGATGCACAATGTATTTTCAGGGTGATAAAAAAAAACTACAGCTTTTTCTGTTAATATTTTCCTCCACACTGAAGTTTTAAGTTTCAAATTTGTACACAACATTTGGAAGTCAAACGGAATTTGTTTGATGTTCATTTGAGGTAAATCCACATAATAGTTTTGCTGTATGAAGAGCGTTAAAGAATGACCCATTTTCAGCTATGTCCCCATTTTTGTAACATGAAGCACTAGTTCGTTATAGGCCTACCACTAAAACTCCCAACGATTGCGCCATATTGCAAACTACAGTAGTAGTCTAACAGGCCAACAGAAGTTTGCAGATAGTTTTTCTCAAGTTTCCTTTGCCTGCTGAGATCATGGTTAAGATTAGTAAAGAGCACAGAGCTTTTTGTATTGAACATTTCCTCACCACCAACTCGTTTCGTAAGTTTCTCACAAGGTGCAGAAATAATGTTAAAGTGCCTGTAACGCCTTTTTAGGTGTCAAGGGTGGAAATGGTCCTTCAGATAGGACCTGTAGAGTAACAACTAAAAATTCCCAGGCAAAACGACTACTTCAGGTCAAACACACACCGTTCACACCCCTTCAAACTCAAACGTCACCAGGGTGCAGAATTCAGTAGATGAACCCCATGAGATTTCTTTGCATAGACGATGTCTGCAGCAATGACTTTCCTATATCTCAACAGTCCGCATTCTCAAGGCAGATCTTCATCTAGGACTGTACCATTTTCCCGTTCATGAAACTATCAGAGGATAGCAATGTGTTCATGATTCCTCGATCGTCTTTAGAAGCGCGAACGTACCTCTATGACGTTTGGTTCCTTGGCAAAGCCCATATTCACCTTTCAGGTTCTAACAACTCCACAAATGATGTCTATTTGGGTTACCTCACCCCCCCCCCCCCCTACTTTCTCTAGAGGCAGCTCCATACTGTAAAGTGTACAGTGTGTGTGGCTTTGAGTACTCATGGTTGATTTGATCCTTGTGTTTGGCCACCACTAAACATTAGGAATGATGCGTTAAAATATGTCGAGTCCTAAGGAGGACATATAGACCATTGGTTCATGGAATTCCAGAATTTAAAAATTATCTTTTTAACTCTGTAAGATAAAAAGAAATATTGTTTAAAGTTTACAGGGATGGAAAGATTAGATTTTAATAATAAAAGGAAAGAAAAAAACCAACAAACCAATCCTTTCATGGCCTTCCTTACAAGATCTTTTAAATTGGGGCATTTTGCATTTCTAGGTGGTTTTTATAAAAGCCATTTCCGTCTTCGAAAATAAGTTTCTTCTTTGTGAATTTTATGTCAAACAAATTCTTTTTGAATGAATTATATGTTCCAAATCACAACATTCTAGTACAAGTTTTGTTTGAGATATAAAAAAAAGTTGTACAGTTTTTTCAAAATCACCTGATGTGTCACAGCGTGGTGGAATCAGGCGCTTGTCAATTTTTGGGCATGTGGAGTTATTGATCTGAAAGCTTATTCATTTGCTTTGAATTCAATGAAAAAAATATCCTTCTAGCTTGAATAGAAGTTGAACTATTTGCGATTGAAGAAGGTGGGGATTCAGAGGTAAAATTAATGAGAAAATGGCCACCAAAGTTGAGTGATTTCCTTAGCTTGAGAGTTCGTGGAAACAGAAAATTTACATCGTTTATGCCTTTAATCAACATTTTTCAGTAAAATCCCCATAGAAATGTGTTCTTCAATGGGTATGAAAGACGTTGAGCCACAAAATAAAATTTTGATATTAAAATTCCCAAACCTGTGGAAAAATGCCAGTTTCTTCAGTTTCCTTATTTTGACGAGCGCCTGATTTCGCCACTCAGTCTCACATATTTTAATATCTATAAATCTTGTGTCCCTGTGTGAGGGTTTCCACGGAGATCGAACAATCTATGATTTTTCTTTCTAGCCAGTTAGCACCTCTGGTCTCCCATTTTAAGCTTTCTTGTCTGGCCCGGGATTACAAGCACACCCCCCCCTCCCCCCATGTGGATGGTTGTCGTGTCGTCTGCTCCTGCTTTCTCATCACTTCGAACATCTATTTTTTCTCATCTCCCCCCCCCCCCCCCCCCCCATTGTAGTGCTACTGACTGAAGTGTCTTTAGGCCATTCCCAAAGGGGGGATATTAACCTGTCCTTATGCACAGTAGAATTGTGAATGGGCTGAGTTATCAATGTCATGTTCATACTGTAATGGAACAACATATACTTCTATTTCCGGGGTGCCTTGATAGTCGAAGCAGATTTTGTCTTGTTGAGGCTAGAGAGGTGAGCAAAGTAAGCCTGATTCCCCATTTGGACTTCTCTGTTGACATCCACCCCGTTTGACCTTATTTAATTGTGAGCGCCGTAAAACCTCACTAAAACTAAACTAACCATGATTTTTCTTCCTAGCCAATTACCTCCTCTGGTCTCCATTTTAAGCTTTCTTGTCTGGCCCCGGATTACAAGTATCCCCCCTCGTGGGTGGTTGGCGAGTGCTCTAGTGTGGTCTTGCTTCTTCTTTCCCATCAAACATTCATTATCCTCATCTCTCCTCCTTCAAATCTTCGACACTCTTTGACTTTATGCTTTAATAGCCTATTTTAGAATGTACTGTTCTTTGCGATGGATTTATACTGACCAAAAAATCTTTAAAAGATGCATTTAATGTAATGTGTGTATTGTTTTCAGCCTAATTTTTCTCCACATATTGAATTTTTTATCAAAGTATTTTTAGTTCTATGTTTGTGTTCTGCCCATTTCTGTAAAGCGAAGAAAAATTTCTCACTGGGACAATAAAGTATCATCTTACCTTATCTTTTACTGATCTGATCTGACCTGATCGCGTCTTGTATTGTCTTGTCTTGTTTTTAAAAAAAAGTATTAACGATAATCGTGATTTTGAAACAAAAAGGAAAGAAAACCAGATAAAAATTATCTAATCTTTCTACACAGAGAGCGCCCCGCCCAGCTTCTCGGTGACCCCTGCGGAGGATGAGGCTGTCCAGTCAGAGAACCAGCCCGTCTCCGAGTCAGTGGACGAGGAGGACTGCGAGACGAGGTGCGGCTACTGGGGATGGAGACCCAACTTCCTGCAGAGCGTCAACAAACCAGGCTTCCTGGTGTTTTTTGTCGCCATGTACTCCATGATGCTGGGTACGGTCGTCGTTCGTTTGTTCGTTGCCGTCGTTTTATTTGTTGTCTTTGGATATGTGGGTATGTGGGTGTGTGTATGTGTGCTTATGGTTGTGTGTGTTTTTGTGTGTTAGTGTGCGTGTGTTTGTTTTTAGTATTATAGTATATGTGTGTTTTTGAGTGTGTGTGTGTTAATGTCTGTGTATGTGTGTGCGGGATTGTTTGTGTGTGTGTGTGGCCCAACTTCCTGCAGAGGGTCAACAAACCAGGCTTCCTGGTGTTCTTTGTCGCCATGTACTCCATGATGCTGGGTACGGTCGTCGGTCGTCGGTCGTTTGTATGTGGTTGCTTTATTTATGTGTTGTCTGATTGCTCCTTCTTCTTTTTTGTGTTTGTTACTCTCTTGTAACACCTCTAATCTTCGGCATTTATATAGACCTTATTCATACCTGCCAACCCTACAGAAAAAATAGGTAGATCACCGACTTTTGGGTCAAACTACCGATCCACCGGTTTTGAGATGAAGCCACCGACTTCAGGATTCAGCAGGGTGACTGCCAGGCCCCGGGAATTACCCGGGAATTTGAGAAAGTTATCGAATATTTGAAAACCAAATCCGATAACGCCCGTAAGTTCATTTTTGCCGGTCGCGATTGTGATTCATTCGGCTCCCTCAAGAGTATGTTTCTTCACGCAGACAGGCGGCTATGGTGGCAAGTGCTTGTGATACCGACGTTTGATCGGG